TTTGTTGGCAGGGTGATGTCTCTGCTTTTTAGTATGCTGTCTCGATTTGCCATAGCTTTCCTCCCCAGGAGCAAGCGTCTTTTAATTTCTTGGCTGCAGTCTCTGTCTGCGGTGATCTTGGAGCCCAGGAAAATAAAATCTGTCACTACCTCCATTTCTTCCCCATCTATTTGCCAGGAAGTGAGAGGACTGGATGCCATGATCTTAGTTTTCTTAATGTTGCGTTTCAAACCAACTTTATGGGGACTTCCTTGCTATTTCTAGTTAAAATGGAATTTCAAGCAAACCCAGTGAAGGTTCTGGGGCAAGAGGTTCTGGGTTCTGGGAAAGTGGATGGAGGCATCCAGTATTCTTTTTCTGGGCAAGGTCCTTGGATGACTCAATTCCATGTCTTGTTGGATGAAGATGATTATTTAGTTCAGGCCAGGTTGGGACTGAACCAGTCTTGATTGCCTTGGTGGATGCCCTATCCTGGGAACAAAACAGGGGGACTGGGTCCTTGTTAACTGTGCTGAACCTTTCAGCAATATTCAATTCCATTGACCATGGTAACTGCCTGGGGACTTTAGCCGAGGGAGAGGGGTGTATTCCAGTGTGCTGAGTTGACTTGATTGTGCACTCCCAGAAAGTGGTGCTGGGTTAAACTGCCTAATGGCCTCTGGGGTTCCTCAGGGCTTTGTTTTCCACCTAAGTTCTTAGCATCTACATGAAGCTGCTTGAAGAGGTCACCTGGGGCTTGGAGTGGGCGGGGTCAGGTCTCATCTGACAATACTGTGCTGTCTTTTTGTCGCCTGAGGTTGTGGAAATGCAATTGTGATTCCAAGCAAGACAGAGGTGCAGTTGCTCTTGGAAAGACAGCCTCCCATGTCAACATGTGATCATTTCAGATGTCCTTCTGCATGTCCTACCAGCAAGGGGGAACATGGGATAAGGCATTCTCTTTGCCAGCACCCTCCTGAGGGTTGGCCTCTTCTTTGTGCAGTTGGGCTGTTAAAATGTTTTTGTTCCACATGATGTTTTAGTACTTTCAGTGTATTAGCTCAGCACTATTTAAAAAATTAAAAAAAGATAAAGCACCTGGACCAGATGGTCTCATAGTGATGTATTACAAATGCTTAGAAGAAAAACTAATGTTGCACTTCAAAGAGTAATGAACTAAATTAATAAAGGGACATCATTACTCCTTTCTTGGGAGGAAGCCCATATAACATTGAAGGTAATGATCTCACAACTCTATACTCCTACAGACCTATCTCACTACTAAAATTCATTTTTTAAAGTTTTAAAATATTTCACATCTTAAATTGTTTTCAGTTTTAATGTTAAGCCACAATGTGGGCTTTATTTGGACTGAATAACTACTCATACAGTTGTAATGAATGAATGAACGAGAATAGGGTCTCTAAGAAGAGAATAGCCATGGGCAATTTCCCATGAGCTTAAAAAAATAAAGAAGGCTGCATTGGACTACTACCAGTATTGAATGCCTTAATGCCCAAATGCAGAGATCTTTCTACAAAGGGGCATGTTACATGCATACAATTACATGGAAGAATTTTTTTTACACACACTGCTGTGGAATAGATGCTGGGCTGGGTGTGGGACCAGATCAGTATAAATTTGGAAGCGACGGAGAGACGGGGTGGATTTTACTGTTGAAGTACAAGAGCACTTGCAGAAGCATAAGGGTTAGCTCTGCAGGGCGCCAGGGTTAGAAAAGCTGGTTTAGGCCATGCATGGTGAAGCAGATTTTTCCAAACTGTAGAAAGCTATTTCCTCACTTAGCTGCAAAACAACTTGAGGGAAATGGAGAAATCAGCTTCAGACAGAGAGCAAACACAGCAAAGCCTCAAAGCATTCTAGAAGAAGTTATATATTTACAGAAGCTCTTCAATCTTTGCATTTCAAATGATGTTTCAACTATACTATTCATCAGGAACAACTAGAGAACAATTCACAAAGCATAATTCTACATACTCTCATTAAATTTTAAGCACAGTGATTATACACAAGGTATACAATAATTCCTAGTGGGCCTTAGGGTAGATAAATGTGTAAGTTCACTTCCCATCTTGTTATTAGGACAATATGTTACTACTATCAAAATGTCAAAGAACAGGTTGCAACCATTCTAGTTCTTTGGAACTCTTCCTGGGGCTAGAAAGATGAAAAAAGTGGGAGGAAAACAACTGTTTAGCGCTGACCGTCATCACTGGGAACCATCACAGCCCTCGACAGACAAGGCTATGAATGTCTGCTACCTCTCCTAATATTGGGAAGCCCATGACTAAGGGCAAGGAGATTCCTGATGAAGATTCTCTTCCTGCCTTTTTCACTGAATTCTATGGCAGGTCCAAATGACGTTGACGTCCTGTGTTTTCCCACTGCTTCTTCCATTCATTTCCCTTACTATTAAAGAAGAGGAGCTGGAACACTTGCAGTGTTGCTTAGCCTTCCACCTGTTTCAACATCAGCCAGCCTTTCCCCCTTGTCCTACTTAGTGCTTTGTTTCCCATCCAGCCCAGGAAGCAATTCTGGAGAACTCAGAGGTAGGCATTTTGTGCCATTTTGGTTGACCTAATGAAGATGTTGCCTTAGTACAGCTTTAGGAATCTAAATCTGCAAAACTTCTGATAACATTTTACAAAGAAGTCATATGTATGATCTTTTCATGGGTCATTTGAGATGGGCTGACAATATGGACTCTGACTTAATCAGAAAAGGTACTAATGCTATTTCTATGGAGGGTATCTTCCTTTTCACTATGACACTGAATGAAGGAACTTGAAGGGGTGTCTGCCACAAAATGTTGCCGCGTGTAGTAATTCCAGAATATTCTGTTCTCTCCCTGCTCTCAGACTTTCCATTCCCCCTGCAACAGTCTGTCATCATTTTGTGCTCTCAGAGCACACTGAACTAGGCTGTTCCCCCTCTTACAGTTTTTCTTCTCTTCCTTTTTTTCAAATCTTGTCATTTCCCCAGGCCTTCTTTTGGGTGGTGCTGTTTTGGCAGTGTAAGAAGGGCACAAGCATGGAGTCTGTGTATAATGTGTATTCACATTATACAAGAGCTTGGAAATCCACTGGGCCAGGCCAGACTGAAAGTTTGTTTAAAAGAATGGTAAATCATAGACTATGCTTGTTTATGAAATCTTTTTCCCTATAGGATTATTTCCTCTTTCACTTTGTGATATTTGCTGAAGCCCATCAAAAGCACAATTAGGGAAGAATAAAAAGATAAAGGTAAAGGTTTCCCCATGACGTTAAAGTCCAGTCATGCCTGACTCTAGGGGGTGGTGCTCATCTCCGTTTCCTAGCCGAGGGAGCCAGTGTTTGTCTGCAGACAGTCTCTGTGGTCATGTGGCCGGCATGACTAAACACCGACGTGCACGGAATGCTGTTACCTTCTCACCAAAGTGGTACCTTTTTATCTACTTGCATTTGCATGCTTTCGAACTGCAAGGCTGGCAGGAGCTGGGACGGAGTACGGGAGCTCACCCCATCTGCAGATTCGAACTGTCTGCCTTTCAATCAACCAGCCCAGTGGCTCAGTTTAACCCACTGCGCCACCGCATCCCTTTAGGAAAAGACTACATTATGCATAATGAACACTGACCCAGAATAAAACATGTTTGGGTAGTTAAATGAAGACTTGTAGTTTGAGCAGGGATGCCCAGGGAATCTCTCTGAGGTGGGGTTTCCATTGGATTCCCTGGGCTTCACTTCCTGGACTTCAGTTTGTTTTGTGGCACCCCTGAAGGCCCTGAGTTCCTGGTGAGTGTGCCTAGCCTTCGTGGAGGCTCACCAGGAGCTGAGCCCCTTTCCTATGTGCACTGCAGGCACAGCAGTGAGTGGGGAAGACAGTTGGTCACTGGGAATGGTGGGCATTGTGGTTGCTCGCAGCTCTTCTTTTCCACACCCTGCAGCTGCTCCTGATGGGGAAGGTTGCTGATGAGGAAGGTTGCTGGTTGCCTAACCAGGGCCCTGAGAATATTCAGACTTCCTCTTGGCTCAGCTTGCTTTGCAGGACTGAACTGAGCCCAAGGAGAACTGCTTTGTTTACCATTTAGAAGTGTGAAGTGCTAGAAGGGGAGATTCGGAAAGGGTTCATTCCAACCCTATGTCTCAGGGATTTCTGCTGGCCTATCCATAGCTTGTTCTCTCCAGAACTCTAGGACTTCCCAGAGTCCTTTGCACATATGCAGGAAGGCCATGCAGCTGGTAAGAGGAACAAAGTGCTACCATAGGGCCACTGACCCAGGGACAGTGGGATCATATGCTGCTGGTAGGAATTACGGGCTTCAATAGATGAAGAGCAAATGCAATCGTATATATGTTTGCTCAGAGGGAAGCCCCATTAGGATTCATTCCTAGGTAAGTGATTATTTATTTATCTAAAGTTTTTATATGCCATCCAATACAAAAAAAATCTCTGGACAGCTTACAAACGACAACAAAAACAACCTTGGCCAGGGCGACTTATTTTATATTGTTATTTTTTGCATTTTAACTTAATGTTTGTATTTTACAAACATTTTAACTTAATGTTACGTTAAGTTAATGTTTTAACTTAATGTTTGTATTTTAACTTAATGTTGTGAGCCGCCCCGAGGCTTCGGTGAATGGGGCGGCATAGAAATGTTTTAATAAATAAATAAATACAACATAGGATCATGGCAAATATCTTGTTCACATGCAAACACACCTTGGCCACTTTGGACATGCTAGAAGAGTCTCAGTGTGAACCAGGGTTTAGTTTCAGAAATGCAGAAAATGTAATGTCAGAATTAAAATAGAAACTTCCCCTTCATGTCTTACCAGGTCGTGTGTATGAGATGATCACGGTATGCATACTGGAGGGTTGTGCAGGGCACAACTATGCCTTGTCCTGACACCCAAAAAAGGATGATGAGATTATGTGCATAAGGATGGCACTGATTTGAATTCGCTATTCGTAAATGTATGTGCATGGGTGAAGCATTCCTCAGGAAGGAAGGAAGATTTGTTTAAATTATTTTTACTCATGTACACACTCCTGCCCACATAGAACTTTCCACTGAACATGAGCCAATGCAAAACCACAGACAAAAACAAGTTAAAATAGGAGATGGATACACATTCAAGTAGCAGCAGCATTGAACAGTTAAGACTCAACAGGCTTCCACAATTAAACCCACCAAAGGCTTTAGAAAATAACAGCGGAAGCAAGGAAACAAAAGGCCCGCTGAACAGGAAGCCTTCATTAAAAAGGAACAAAAGGCAAGGGCAGGTTCTTAAGGAGAGGTAGAAATGTAAACGGCAGGACAAGCACGCGCATTTTCAACATGGCGATTGAGGGCTGCAGGTCCCTCTTCAAAGTTCATTGTGTTTTAGGCAACTTGCTGCCGCATCCTTCATATATAAAATTTATGAATGTCCCAACATTCATAAGGACAAAAAGACTGTATACATAATAAATGACAGTATAATATCACTGAGGAAAGTTTACAAGACATACAACCATGGAATAATGAAATATTGTACAATATGGTTCCTACTACCAAATAAATTAAAGACTCCTAGAAAAAAAAGTTTAACAATGTCTAAAAATTCGATCAAACAGATGTTTTTCCATTGCTTGCATTTCTCAAACATTTTGAACTTGTCCCTGATTACCATTATGAACCGCGCTATGTAGCCCTCCTTACGCAACACTAATAATCTGCTACACACATAAACATGTGGGGCTTGTAAAATGAAGTACTGTTGTGTGCAAAGATATGTGGAATGCGGCATTAATTTAAGACTGGCATGAGAAGAGGAATATAAAGATATATCTCATACCCTTTCCTAAACATTTTCACACACACATATAGGGGAAAAAGAATTCCAAGAACCCAGGAGACATTCAGTCCATCTAGGCCTTGGTTGGAGTCTATGGAGAAATGTAAACTGGCTACTTATATATCTCATCAAAAAATAGAAAGTGCATCCTTAAACTCAAAGACATTGATTTGCATGAAATGTGCATATGCTAATATATATGTTGGACTCCAAATGAAGAAGCATCTGCATCAGAAATGCAGAACATCTTGCCACAGTGAGAAAGACCTTGACCATATACCCTGCTTGCCTGTTCAGTTTGCTGTCCCAGTGCTAACTGTTGACGAGTAACCAAGAGCTCCTCATTCTCTTCTGGTGATGTTTCTTTAAATTGGACTGGATCTTGACTGTCCTTTAAACAAAGCACAGCCCTCTGAAATGCAGGACTTTAAAAGACCAATTTAGCTGAGGAAGAGTTCACCCACCTCAGGATCCTGTCCTTCTCTGGAACTACACCTGCCATCTTCACCCATACACACTACCCTTGAAGGAGGCCTCTTCTGCTGTTTGAGAACAGCCATCTCAGTAGGTAGCTTTTTCACCCAAATAAAAACATCAGCATGGTTGGCAAACTGTAGTACAAACCTAAAGGATTGTGTCCATTGATTTCTGAAAGGTGGACAGTACTTGGAACTGTGTAATTACCTGGTTGAGCGAAAGATATTTTTATATCCTTACTGCTCATCACTTAAAAACCCACCAACTTTTGGTGAGAAGGCTGAGCTAACAGCAAGTTATAAGATGCCTATTAGCAGGAGTTATTTATCCAATCAAAGCTAACTTTTTTTTTTACTTTTAATGGGCATTGCATTTGTATGATATCAGGATCTGAGACATAATTAAGACGGTGGCAAAATTTAAGCTATAAATAGCTGTTTACATCACCATTCAGTCATGTCACACTTGTAGTTATTACATGATGAATGTGGTTGCTCTATGAGGCACAGGATGCTGGGTTGACTAACCTGAGGCGTGTTGCCAACCGGCCTGCCACTGTTACTCTTCTTGTTTTATCATGCTCAGAAATGCAATGGCCTTCCAGCAAACCTTCCTTTACTGCATCATGAGGACACCGTGACAGCAGGGAACGTTGCCCCGCAGTGCATCCACAGGCTCTACTGGTTTTCTTGACCAGAACCAGAGGATGCAAAACCAAAAGAAATTCGGCGAAGCCAGTTTTGCTGCTTAGCAGCACTTGGGCACTATCCAAGGAAGCTGCCTTCTCCCAGGTCAGGCCATTTGTCCATGTTGTCCAAGATGGTTTATTCTAACTGGCTGTGATACTCCACGCTCTCAGGCAGAGAAGAACGTTTTCCATCTCGAGTTACCAGGTCTGGTTCACTGGAGAATCCAGGGCTGGGGCCTGGGACTTTCTGCATGCGACGCAGGTTGCCCTTCCCCCGAGTTCCAGCCACTCATACGCTGTACCTGGGCACCCCAGGATAATATGAGAGGCATGGCTGCTGGTGCAAATGCATGCTCCATGAAAGTGTTTCGTGCTCTGAGTGCAAGTGCAGCACACACACGGTGCTACTTCATTATGGTTCCATCCCTGGAATAAGGGGCCACCAAGATGGGTGGCTCTATTTGTTTTGCGGGATGCATTCGGCAAGAGGTGTGAGGCTGCAAGCTCAGAATGAAATGCAGACCTCAGTAGAATGCCTTTTGTCACATTCCTGCAAGTTGTGGCTTCAGCAGCGCAAAACCTCTGTACTGATTGGTTCCCCAGCCAAGCAGCCTGCCACAGGAAGTAACAGGTTGCCGTCTTCAGGCGTGCAAAAGAACATTTTCTTCACACAAGAAAAGCATTCTGTGCACGCCTGGGATACTTTGCCCCTAGATCTTTTCTTGGATGGGTTGTATACCCTTGTATAGCCTTGAGCAGGAAAGAAAGTCTGCATATGCTCAGAGGCATTCAGTACAGGCATGTTTTTCAAAACAAGAATGATGTACGTGCACAGCAAGTGGGCCAATCACACTTGCTCAGTGGGCAGAAAGATTTGGCACAGTGCTCAGTAAAACTCTTGTGAATGGCTGGACAATGGGATCTGAGAGTAGAACTTGTAACAGGCACAATTATCCCTGTACTTTGTTCCTGTTCTAATACACACATGATTTAAGATACTTTGCTATTGTCTAATACCTGACAATATTTGCCCAGTGTTTGATTGGCCGGTTGACTTAAGATTGATTCAAGGAGGCCAAGATTCCTTTAGCCATATCACCCACTTCTGCCTTTGGTGCTACGGGGAAGCACAGGCCTTCATTAACATTTCATTTTAAAACATGTTAATGAGAGATGGTAAGTGAACGTTGCCAACATCGCTGGATACTTGCTGTCCGCCAGACCTAAGTGCATTTCTCTTCCTCGCACAGCTTTGAAAGCATGACCTGGAGCTCACAGGTTGTGCCAAACGGGCCAAGACGCATCCTTGTCTTATTTGGAGCCAACCAGCCCTGGCTGCCCAGGAGAGTCAGTGTGACTGTGAGCAAGGGGAAGGATGCCTCTTTGTGTTTGGCTCTGCTAACTTCACTTTGTTCTTCATGAGCACATAGTCCTGCACAAACGTGGGCATGTACGAGAGGGGGATCCACAGCAGTTTGGCGTCCATGCCCGGGCTGTAGCGTGTCCTTGGCTGTTTGCTCAGCAAGGCATGTTCCATGCACTTCACAACCAATGAGAGGCTTGAGTTCTGACACAGCTTAACTAATTTTTCCTTCTTGACTGTATCTGAGGAGAGAGGAACACCAGTGGGAGACAAAATACTCAGTAATGGGATTCAAGACATAATTCAGTGTTTACTGGGGGTTAACATCTTATTTTAAATTATAAAGCAATGGAGCTAAATGATTTCTTCATTGCATGTAGCAATGACACAGCACTAACAAGATCTGACAGTTTTATTCATCCTTTTCCTACCGTACTCTAGAAGAAATTCCACTGGTATGGCAGAGCCAGACCCAGTCTGAACAGCATGGCAACGCACTGCTTGTCATGAGGTTCACTCATGACAAGCAACCCTGTGTGGTTTCCATGGTGCCAGGGTGTTTTGGTGTTTTTTTGCCTGGATTGTTGTGTGTTGTGAACCTCTGCACTGTTTAACAAACTGTGGGCTGTTGATACAGTGAATGGGAACAAAATATTCCCATCATGGCTATTGAACTGGCAACTCCTGTTGGGATAAGCAATCCAGGAAGGCTTCAGCCCTGGTTTGTTTATTATGGCACCTGAATCCAGAACTCTGGTTTGTTGGAAGACACTAAGCCAGAGTTGGGACCCATGGTTTAACCTGAGCAGCTGCGAATCCACATGCATGCCCACATCTGCTTGTTTTTTCAGTCACCCAATCACTGCATGTGAACTGGGTCCAACAGTGAGAAAGCTGAATTGGCACTATGCGAAAAACATCACTATGGTTACTTGGAGATCGGAAAGCTTTTCCCCACCCTCCTTCCCCTCCCATTTTATTGGCCTGGTGAGTTGTAGGACACGGAAGCCACTGCCATGGAGGGTCCCAAGAGCCCATGCTCTTTCCATCCTGATGCACTGCAGAGCAGAGGAAGGGAGGGAGAGAGGCATGAAGTGTCTTTGCCTGATGCTGGTGTTACCCCAAAAGACAGAGTTGGTGGGGAGGGAAGGGGACGGCATGGGAGGGCAGGGAAGCCAGGAGCCCTTATCTGGCCCTGTCGTTGGTTTTGAGTTGGAAAAGATGGTTTGTTGTGATGTGCTGTCAGCTGTATCCAACTTATTGCAATCCTATGAATGAACGCCCTCCAAAATATCTGTGACTTCAAGGCTGTGGCTTTTTAATGCAGTCAATCCAACTTGCGCTTGACCTTCCTTTTCTTCTTCTCCTGTTGACTTTCCTAGCATGACTTTCCCTAGAAAATGGGTGGGGGAGCTTCAGTGGTTGCCTCTTTTGTTGCACACTTTACAAAACCTGAAAGTTACTTCCCAGCTGGGCTTGGGTGATGTGCCATGGCATCACAACTTCTGACTTTTCCAGAATACCCTTCTTTTATACCCTTCATCAGCCAATAAAAAAACCAATCAATAATGGCTTACCTTCCTTTAAATAGTTCTCACCATACTGCCTCTTGATGTCCTGAGGAAGATTATTCCAAATGTCCACCTTTTCTTTTATGACCTTGTTTCTGTTGGAGAGTTCTGTTTTGAACAGCCCAGGTTCAATGCAAGATACTGTAACTCCAAAGGGTTTCATGTCCTGTCTGAAAAACCGTTCATATTGTCATGAGCCAAAACAAACTTGGAAGTGCCTTTCAGAGAATTTGGGCATGCCTTAAAATGGCTAGTTCTCTCATCTCTATAGAAATCAAAATGAAAATTGTATTCTCACATTCCCGCAGTTTGTGTAGTGGTTGGAGCTACTTCCTTGGGGAACAGGCCCCCTTCCAGATGTTTTAGACTACAAGTCCCAAAAGCCAAAGCACCAGAGATTGTGGGAGCTGTAGTCCAAACCATTTGGAGGACACTAGGTTACCTTCCTTGTGTAAGAGTGTTAGACAAGTTGGAATCAAGGTGCAAACCTACTCTCAGCCACGATGCTACCTTGGTGATAGCTTGGCCAGTCATTGTCTCTCAGCCTAACCTGCTGCACAGCATCACTGTGAAGATAAAACGAGGAGCGGAAGACGTGTGTCTGCTGCCCTGGCCTCCATGGAAGAAGAGTGGGATTCAAATAAATTAGAAGGACATTAGGCAGTGTGTGCGCACATGTGCGAGAAAGCCTTACGAATCCTCTAGAGATCACATAAAATTTCTCATATTTAAGGGATGACTTAGCAATCCAAGTCATTATGGTAAATGAGGTTTAAATCAGGCTCTTGTTGTGCATTAATTTTATATTAACGGCTCCACTCTGTCCTGGGGGATGTGGGCCACTGTGCTGTAACTTTGGGAGTCTTGTTTCCCAAGAAATGTACCTCAGGCAACCAAAGAAGAGGTGGGATTCTAGGTGCTAGCATGGCCACTCTTAATCTTTCTGTCATGGGCACTGTTTTTAGGGATGATATCACTTCTCAAGGGTGACCAAGATGCAAAAGAGGAATATAAGCCCCTGTGAATCACAAATTCCTTCAACAAATTCTGAGGGTGATGCTTTTAAAGGTGATACGTCCAATAACCCTCTATTGATAGAGATTTAGATATATTTGCCTCTAAGATCAACATCCTTAGAATTTGTTAGTTGTCTTTGTGTGAGTGTGTATTTAAGATTTTGTTTTCTCTTTGATATGGGAAACTGTGCATGTGTGCATGAGTTTTGCATTCATGCAGACTCTCCAATCAAAGGAAAGTAACCTTCCCTGCCTGCTCTCTCCTTCCTCCCTCCCAGCATGATTTTCAGGTATGAGAACAGGACATTCATTTTAAAGGCCTGAGCACAGTATGAGCACAGTCACAGCACCCTGCATGTGAAGGACTCATAGGGCTCTGTCTTGTCTCTTCCTTCGACATTCCTGTGTTCTCAGGAAGAGCCATCACACAGTCCCGTCTAGCCTGCCCTCCATCTGCCATGCAAACTTGCACACGGCAGCAGAAGTAGCTTGCGTGGAGAGACTGAGGGCCCAGAAAGAGACGGTTACTCTGGAGGTGGACTCTGTTCCTGTGCTCAGTCTGGATTCAATCCTGTGTGCATGATCAAGCCCAAAATTAGCAATAATTAAATTGCTGAGATATTTATATAAAGGATGGCATACAAAGTCTTTAATCAATAATGAATAAATAAACTTACCTTAAGCTGTCAGTGAATGCTTCTGCCCCAAATTTGGATGGACAATAACCACCACTGCATATAGCTAGAACACCACCAACACTGGTTACGTTGATTATCCTTCCTTTGGCTTTTTTAACCAGTGGAAGCATGTGTAGTGTCACATTTATGAGTCCAATTAAATTAATTTCAATCGGGGCTCTAAAGTGCTCGATAGACAGCCAGTCTGTTGGCGCTGATGCCCCCATAATCCCTGCGTTATTGATCAGGCCCCAGAGACCTGTGAAGAAACAAAGTAAGTTAAAAAAGACGGATAACTAGTTATGTCTGGAAATATATGAAGTTTTTATTTTAGTAGAAAAGTATTTATCATTATCATCTTTGTGCTGAGCATCTGTCCTGGGAAACAGGAGGAAGAGGACAGCCAAGATGGTGAGGGATCTGGAAATCAAGGCCTATGGCCGAAATTGCTGAGTGGGTTTAGCCTGTAGAAGAGAAGATGAATAGAGGCCATGGTAGTGGTCTGCAAATATCCACAAGCCTGTTGCGCAGAACATAGAACAGACATCTTCACTCTGGCTCCACAGGGCAGGACTAGACCCCATGGGTGGAAATTGCAGGGAAGCAGATTTTGGTTAAATATCGAGAGTATGAGTCAACAATGTGATGTGGCTGCTAAAACAGCTGATGCTATTTTAGGCTGCATTAATATTAGTATCACTTCCTAATCATGTGCGATACTAGTTCCACTTTACTCAGCACTGGTTAGGCCTCATCTGGAGCACTGTGTCCAGTTCTGGGCACCACAGTTTAAGAAAGATGCAGACAAGCTGGAAAAGGTTCAGAGGAGGGCAAAGAAGATGATCTGGGGACTGAAAACAAAGCCCTGCGAGGAGAGATTGAACAATCTGCGCATGTTTAATCTTGAGAAGAGAAGATGGAGAGATGATATGATAGCACTCTACAAGGCTGTCACAAAGTGGAAGGACAGGATCTCTTCTCAATTATCCCAGAATGCGGGACATGGAATAATGAGCTCAAGTTACAGGAAGCCAGATGCCAACTGAACATCAGGAAGAACTTCCTGACTATTAGAGCAATACAACAATGGAATCAACTACTCCTGCACTAGAGGCATTCAAGACGCAACTGCACAGCCATCTGGGAGGAAATCAGGAATGAGATGGCTGGCAAACCAATGTTCAGAGAATACTGGGGACGTCAAGCACTGCTCATCCACTGTTCGCTGCTTCCAACATTCATGCTGAGCAAGGAAGGGCTGATTCACACACATACGCATGAGCATCACTTGCCACTTCATCATTTAGCAACTCACTGTCAAATGTGTAAATGGCAGCTGCCAGATAGTATTGTATTATTCTAAAGAAATATGGCAATTAGTCTGTGAAGGCTGTTACACATAATCAAATTCTAGAAGTAAAGCTATAATTTAGTCAGTATCCCATCTTCCCACTTAGAATAAGGCCTTCTCAAGGGCTTATATACAATGTCAAATATTAAAAACAATTCCACAGCTCTTTAAAATGCGAGGGAAGCCAAATCAAATCCATCAGCATAAACATGATTTTAATGAAGAGCTTTTAAATGGAGGAAAATCTTTTCTGCTCAAAAAGGCCCATCATGTGTCTTGTTCGCAAATGCACATTTGGTGTGCCCTTCTAAAAAATGCACATCTTTCTCAGAAAAATGAGAAGCAAGTCAGGTAACAATTGAAAATGGTGGCAAGGAGACCTGAGTTCTGAGGTAGAATTCAGAGACTTTTGGTGAACTCAAGCATTGCTGGTTATTCTATTCCTAAATCTGGGTGCACAACTACAAAAGAATAAAATACATTTTCACTTCCCAAAGCACACTTGTAATGTGTGATAATCTGTATCAAGACAAAATGAGAGAAAGTTGTGCCATAATATGGCTGCTGAAAGCCTGACACTGTAAGAACAACTTTAGACTTAAGGTGGGATTCCTAGGAAAATCATGTTCCAGTTCCACTTTCAATATGCTAATATGTGCCTGTTTGTGTTGTTGTCTTAAGCCATTCATTCCCTTTGTTTTTACTCTCCTGTGCCTCTTGCAAATTGCTTACCCGATCTTTCACCCTCCTCCAAACTGTGGACATAGCTAATAGCATCTTATACAGAATTCCTCTTGATAGTCCCCCATGGGTTACCTATATGCTGCATGTATTTTTTCCCTCTATGGCTGAATAAACTATGTCCTTCTGACTGTATACACCCAGCATACCAGCATTCCTGTTTGTTTGATACTAGCCTTCTCAGAGGTGCATGATGTGATCTTTTGCATGCCTACTCAGAGGGAAGCCCCGCCTTCTCCAACAGGCCCATAAAAGTATGCTTATGACCGCAGCGGATTGCAGCATCACCTTGTACCTCAACATTTCATAATCCACTTGACGTATCCTTTCTGTGGTAGTTCAAATGGGATGATCAGAGAAAGAGGAAGAACAAGGGAATGGTGGTGTCTTGAATATAATGAAATATCCTGAAAAACTTGATCAAGTGGATCATTGTACCAAGTACAAGAAGTGGCCGCCACGCATAGACAACTTTACCTTTCTTTTACAGGCTAAACACTCAAACAGGAATTGGTGCACTGTGCCATTCCCCTTCAAGGCTGCATCACCATATCCCTAGCACTCAAGGAGCAACTATTTCTACTTGTCAAGGTGTACTGGAAGAAAGTCCAACAAAAGAAGAATAGTCGCTCTCTATATTTTGGTGCTTCTCAGACCCTAGTTCCTGAAGGCAATGGCTCCATCTTGAGTTGGCTTTGCCCATCTCTTGCCTTCCCAGATCAGAGAAGAGGAGCAGCGTGTAACTTTTTGACCTGACTCCTCAAAGAGGCAACACTCTGAAGCAAGTCCAGAGCTGGATTGGCTTTCATCTCACCTACTCTGACTGGATAAAAGCAAGCAGGGAGCAAAAACGATGAGGCAGACGGCCTTCAGGAGTAATCTTTGAGGTCATGGCTCAGTCCACCTGCTCTCCCAACTTTCAGGAAAAAGCTTGGGCTGAATGCGGGAGGGATGGGGAGCTAAAGTTGGTCCACAGGTTGGAGGTTCCCAAATCTTCATCCCTGTCTTAGAGGCTGTGATGGTGATAGGGTGGGAAATAAGGGGTTCCCAGGCACGTTTCAGTCTGCATCTGTCTGTAAGTATTATTGTGGGTGCAGTGTAGATGCCTGTAGGTTTCCCTAAAATATAGACCTTGAGTTCAGTCGCCTGACAGTCTAGATGTGTTAATTGATCACAGCAATAACTAGATTCTGAACCTCCTTTAAAACCTCAAAGGAAAAAAACACTCCCCCCCACATAGCTTGCCGGATTCATACCTGGCGGTCTTAAGTATTTTATAGAAGGGTAGCTTCTATGAGATCAAGCTTCTCCTTTCACTCCAGCTCTAATACTATGCATCTCTTAAGGGTACAGGACATGTACCTGCAACTCTGTATTGAGTAGGTTTAAGGCACAATCCTATGTATATTTAGACGGGAAAAAGTCCTACAACTCCCACCATACCCCAGTTGGCAGTGCTGGCTGTGGTAGGACTTTTCTGCTTCAGCATTCATAGGATTGCACCCTCAGTCAAGAGTCCAGACAGCTGGTCACTCACCTTTTTCTCCGACTATTTTTTTTACTTTTTCTTCCACTAATTTGATACTATCCGTGTCTCTCACATCGAGCACCATTGTCTGCAGGTGTACAGAAGCTTCTGTTTTCAGCTCTTCTGCTCCCGTTTCTGTCAGGCAACAGGCAATAACAAGAAATCCTTTCCTATCAAAAGTCAGAGCTGCCAGTTTTCCAAATCCTGAGTCACAGCCAGTGATCAACACATATTTTGTTCCACGATCTAGGTCGATTAAGGTGTCTCCTGCTCTCCATTTCCACCAGAAATAGCAGATGACCGACCACAATAGCACGTAGTAAAACATTCCTATATCCAAGCTATGCTCCTCAGTTTCCTCCTGAAAGAAACAGAAACAAATGAAAGCAGGGGTTCCCCAGGACACTGCATCCCATCAATTCCTTTGCTGTGCAAAAATCTAGAGGAAAAAACAGCCCTATTACACACCCACCTTTGCAGGCTTTTGGAAAAGACTCCTTGGGACCAAAAAAAATGAAACAGCCACCTTGTGTAAAAGCTTTCAGCAGCCAGGACATGGTCCCAGATGTATTTTCTTTTAATTCCAAGAGTACACATTTTTAGGCTTCTGGTCTGTGCACTTCCTTGGAATTAAATGCACAGGACTAGGCCATGGCTGAAGCGCTTTACATTATTTACAGAAATCTTTACAACACCACTGTAAGGTGGGTTAATATTATGATTAAACCTGGAGGGGTGCCAAGGCTAGGAGGCAGTGGCTGCTGAAGTAATATTTGAACCTGCTTGCATTAGGCTACTATTAGCTTTCCCCAACATGGTGCTACCCAGATGTTTTGGATCAAAGTCTGCATTTGGAACAATTGTTCTGAATCAAGCATGTTATGTTGTACAAAGGCAAGCCAAATTATTTTCCCCTTCCTTGCCAGGAAAGTAATAATTATAAATCAAGGGACAATCGTATGCAGTTTAGACAAAAAAGTCATTTTTTCCTAAACACGCATAGGATTGAACCTTTAATCAGAAAGAATTGACTGTTTTTTCCTGACACCTAAATTTGGCTGCTTGAGGCAGCCACCTTTGTGCTAACTGAAACTAAAGCAGGCCCTGTTCAAAATAAAGCAACTGCAGAACAGTATTTAAATCTTTTCTGCACTTACCCCCTTCATGCTGAGCTGTAGTTAGGCAAAAGGGTGTTTCTTTTCTTTAATCTGCCTGGAGCAATATGTTGTCCACTTGTCTTCTTAGTTTAGTTCTTGTTCTCTTGAAGAGCCCATTTCAAAAACTGGATGTGGTGCTACAGATGACTTGGAAGAGGACAGGTGGTTGCAACTGGCTTAACTTCCTTTGCAATTTTGTTCACACAGGCTGCCAAACAGCTAGATCTAGTGGTGCAATAATAACAGAACAATGTGGTTGCTTTTTGGTAAGCTCACGAGCGCGAAAGAATTTTGCAACACTCATGGTCATGATCTGGAGCCTCATAACGAGAGGCCCTTATTATGGGATGTATGTTGTAATGTACAAACTGAACTTGACGATGATGCATTATATCACTATTTTAAAGCTGATGATGAGGAGGAACATTTTCTCATATAAAAACTCTTGTTCTGAGAAGAATAGCCCACCGATTGTGTCATTCATTGAATTATGCATTCTTGATTTGAGACAGTCTTGTGCCTTGTTAACTCAGAATGTTCCAAATGCAACTTGCATATAATAGTGGCGGCATCCAGTGTGGCTGCCCACAACCCTTCAAACTCAGACCATCATGGGCTGCGGGAGGGCAGTGGAGGCAAGGATGGCCTCTGCATTTCCCCAAGCCCCAACCATTGAGACAGCCAATTTCATCTTGTAAGGCAGGGAGCCGGAGGTGCTAGGACTTCTTGTAGGATGGCAGATCCTCACCCTTCCCAGCCCACAACAGCACTGGCTCCAAACTTGGCCATTGTACTTTGGAGCTGCAGCTGGCATAGAAAGCACCACACCAGCCACAAGAGCAGAGGGGAAACGCTCCCAAGTTGGAATTCCAGCTCCACCCTTCGAGCTTTTCCATGACTGGAACTGGGAGCCCATCTTTTTCTGTGGTCATCTAGACAGCTTCCAGAGGCTGCAGGATTGCAGCCTAAATAGATTACTTAAAAATACAAAATGATGAAATTCTTTAACAAGAAAAATAACAATTAAAGCTCACCTCCAGTTAGATCCCAAATGCCTAGTGGAAAAAAAAAAAGCTTTCACTTGTCTCTGAAAGGTGACAAGCCGAGAGAAAAGCCTCCATTTCTCATAGAAGTTGAATTCAGTTCCTAGAAATACATTAGGATAGGTCTCCACTCTCAGATCGAAGAAGACGGCAGAGATACCGCCCCCCCCCCCCGCAAGGATATTCTTCCATGGGACAAGGATTGCAGTCTAAACTCTGCCCCTTGGAGGAATGCGAAGAGGCAATACAGGCTGCCTTGTGGTATCCTATAGGCTGGATTAGACCTATGGGTTGGAGAGGTTCTGCCGTTCAGTATAGGATTCACATGATCCAACTGCTTAGCACAAGTACTCAAGTGGCCTCATTTTGCACCCGTTGCTGAACTATCTGTAAAAAGCCCACCTGGCACCTGGCCACCATTGTCACCTGAGCTCCGCCATTTCTGCCATGTCCTTGAACTCCCAAGCTATGTACTTGGTCCTTCAGGGAAAGTGCAATCCCATTTAGGACCAGTGGCAAAGTTCTCTCCAGAGTTACTTTCAGCTTATCTGGATTAAGTTTCATTTGTATGTCATCATCCATCCAGGTATGGGTTCAAAAGTTCTACTACCTATCTAGGATAGATTGACATGAAAAGCAGAACCAAGTGTTATCTGCATATCGATGATCAACATTGATCAGCGCAAACGTCCAGGTACGGTGACTTACCCCAGTGGATTCACATAGACATTGGAAACTATGGGGAACATGAAAGAACCTTGCAGCACCACACAAACTAGTGGCATGGTTAGAGTGATAGTCCCCCAGCACCACCTTCCAGTATCCCAGGAAGGGCAGGATGTGCCATAACACTGCACCTCACAAGCTCAACTCACACAGACCATCCAGAAGGACACCAAGACTGAGAATATCAAAAGCCATCAAAAGAGTGCGAAGAGGTGCAATTGTATTTTACATTAATCTCAGTTAAGCAAGGTCATTTAACTTCATTATCTCCCTGCTCTCTTCTCAATTATAGTGGTACCTTGGCTCATGGACTTAATCCATTCCAGGACTATGGTTGTGACCCAAATTGGTCATGAGCCAAGTCAAATTTCCCCATAAGGTTCAGTGTAAATAAGCTTAATTTGTTCTGTAACTATTTTTTTTTTTAATCACAAAAATTTGAAGCGGGCATGCTGGGAGGGGGGAAGAAGTGCGCAATCACCGGCGCACTTGCGGGGGAGGCGGGCATGATTGCGGGCGCGCTGGGGGGCAGATGGGCGCAATCACGATTGTCGCCGATGAAGAGTTCGCGACCCAAGGCAAATTTTTTCAGAAATGTTTGTTCGTGACCTGATTTGGTCGGAACTGAGGTGTTTGTGAGCCGAGGTACTACTGTACTCGGAAAGGAAAGGAAAGGAAAGGAAAGGAAAGGAAAGGAAAGGAAAGGAAAGGGAAAAGTTGTCCTCAAAGCTCTGTTATTTTGTCAGATTAAATTCACAGGATCCCTGTACAGTGTGAACTTCAAATACTTGCCAAAAGACATCGGAGAAAAATGAAAACCAGAAGAATGCTTCTGGGAATATAATGGGAAGTGCCCCCCCAACACACACGCACATTACTGGAATTACTGCTAGCCCAGCAGGAATTAATGGTTCTGAACCAGCCTGAAAAATGTGGCAATGCTTATTTGCAGCATGGCTTTCCTGACCTGTCATGTTCTGAAAATGAGTGTTTCCGCTTATTGCAGGGACCACTAGTTCCTGTTGCACAGGTGGCCTATTCCATCGAACTAGCAAAGACTTGGCTCAAAGACTCTAGCAGTGAGAGTAGGGATGCAGAGCAAGAGCAGTTGCTCCACTCCTGTTGAGAAGGCACTCTACCACTGCTTAAAAGTGAATCAATTTATTTCAGTTTATGACTCCATCTTATTTCTTTCCTGAGCTCATGCCCTTTCCCATTGTACTGGATTTTCTGGGTTTACTCTGCAGTCTGTTGAAGTGGTCACCATAAAGAAGTTTCAGCTTAATAAACAGAATCAAAGCTATAAATGCGGAAATAAAAGCAATTTCAGCTGAACTACTGTCCAGCTGAAAATTCCAGGGTGAAATTGGGATCTTAACAACATAAGAAGGGCCATACTGGATCAGGCCAAGGGTCCATCCAGCAAAACCCCCCCAAACCCCCCTCTGTTTACCTTCAAGTTGGTTTCATCTCTGGCTATTTACATGCACAGCCCATGATGACTTGTAAAGCAGTGCTGCAAAAAATTATCCAAGTGCCCTGCTTGTGTAGGCAACACAGACACCTTCCCCTCTTAGCACAGAAACCTTTGAAACGTCTTTTCATTGCCTGATTAACTGGGCAGTTCCCCTACTTGGAAGAAAAAGGCAGCTGTAGCCACCATGGCTGCAAATACTCCCTGGGGGGTGGGGGATGAGTTCAAAACTTGAACTGTACAAGGGGCACACTTCATGTCCCTGCAAATTTTGATGGAATAGGAGGGATACTTCTTGGCAGCCTGTGAATACAGGTGTAAAGTTAACTGGTCTGGTTCAACTGTATTTAAAATGCCCAGAGAATTAACACAACCATCATCATGGTTTTACTCCTTTAAAACATTCCTTTCCCTTGGGGCACTAACTCTTAATTGAACTGTAGCATCCAGTTCTACTAGAAATACTGTAAACATCCAAGGCAACATTTTTCACCACTAAGAGTTTTTACGCCATGCTCAGCTTGTTTCAGCAGGTTGTCCTGATCTAAAGAGAAAGGGCTGTACTCTAGGAAGACAAGAACTGTTACTCTATGAGGAAATACTTGTCCTCCTCTTATTATGAAGCAAGTATTTCCATGCTTACAGTGGTAAGAAACTGACTGTCTGACCTACCTCAGTGGCTAGGATAGGCTCCATGTTCCTTACCAGCAAGGTGATGTTGCAACGTGGGTTCCCTGGTCTGCAGCATCCAAAAGCCACAGGCCTGAGGCAGGATCTGGTGAGGTCACAAAGCAAGGGCCGCTGATGTCACAAATCCAGTGAATCCATGGAGAGAAGAACCAAAAGCCCGTGCGTAGCAGATCACTAAAGGGAGGGCCATGGCTCAGTGGCAGAGCACCTGATTTGCTAGCTGAGGCCCTCAGGCTTGCTGGTTGGGGCTGAAAACTCTCTTGGAGAGCTGTTGCCAGCCAGTGTTGGCAATACTGTGCTACATGGACTAGTGGTCCGTCTCAGGACAAGGCAGCTTCCCAGCTTCTTGTCTGGACCACTTGCATGCTAAGAAACACACAAGTCTCACACTCGCTTTGCAGACACACCTGGGCAATCCCACTCACCACTGCCTTTCTTTATCTTTCCCTCCAAATCTCATCCCTCCTCATTCTTTCCTTCCTTTATCTCTGTATTTCTAAATCCCTTGCTTTCTACCTTCTTTCTTGCCCTTTATCCCTCATCCCCGCCCCCGCTTTACAGATTGTTATATTTATTATTAAGCATGCGTGCACAGGAAACCCTAGGGGAAAAAACAATGTCCTCCTCTTCCCCCTCCCACTGTACTTTCCATATATTGGCATGTGTTCCAGAACTCCCTTCAATCAGACACGCATTGATTGCATCAGAGGCTGGCTGGCCGCTCCTCCGCTTGGCTCTGCAGACTGGACTGCTGCTATTGCTGAGCAGTTCCAGATGCTGCAGCCGCAGCGCAGCCCCGAGACCCATCAGCTGGGATAAGCAGACAGCCTGTGGTGTGTGGCACGAGTGGCCGGGCATTCGCAGAGCAGCTGCCATGCCATGTCATGCTAGACCAGCATCTACAGTGGTACCTTGGCTCACGAACTTAATCCGTTCCAGGACTCTGGTCATGACCCAAATTGGTCGTGAGCCAAGTCAAATTTCCCCATAAATTTGAAGTGGGCACACTGGGGGGAAGGAGGCGGGTGCACTGGGAGGGAAGGCAGGTGCGATTGCGATCATCACCCAATGCGGAGTTCACGACCCGAGGACAAATTTTTCAGAAATTTCTGTTCAAGACCCGATTTGGTAGTGAACTGAGGCATTCGTGAGCCAAGGTACCACTGCATTCCCGTTTCCTTCCTGGTATCAGTTGGTGTTGCCACTGCTGCTCCATTCCACCACCACCTCTTCTTCCAGTCCAAGCTTCCTCAACTTGATAATTCGGACTACAATTCCCAGCATTCCCACCCATTGGCCATACTGGCTGCGGCTGTCAGGAGTCCAAGTTCAAAGCATTGGGAGGGCACTGTGTGCCATTGGAAGAACGGGAAGGAGGCAGAAGAGCATGGCAGCGGTGGACACTTCGTTTTCAATGGCAGGGATGAACCAGAGGAAGTGGGGCAAGGCAGGCGGAGTGGCACCTTGAAGCAGGGCAACCATTCAAGAGAACTGCAGTGCAGAGATTTGGGCTGTTGGCCCAGATGCACAGAGTGGGGTTGCGGGGGCGGTTTGGGAGCACCTGGAATTCCTGTTGGTGAGGGCAGGCAGAAGAATTACTGCGATGCCTGACCACTTAGAGTAGCCTCTGGTCATGAGAGATGGACAAATCTGTCAATTCCAAAAATTTGCAGTCTTATCTTAGTTCATCTCAGATTTTAAGTTCTTTACTCGTCCATTTGGTTTATCATGATCTTTGAGAATACTTTTTAAAAGTTTGCAGGAAAACACATGAACATTTTTAGCACATTTCTCCTAACGCATGCATTTTGTATGCACTTTTCTTACTATACAAATTGTTTGCAATCTTTCCCCCTAATATACTGCATCTTTAACATTATTTCCTCTATTTTATTCTCCATTGTTATTTGGAGAATTCTATTGCAAAATTCAGAGAAGTGTGAATAAGCTAGTTTTGGTTCATATAGTTGTACAAAACTGCAAGATTAGAGAACTCCATATATTGAACACATTTCTCTCTTATGCTTACTGGCCATACCCTCCCAGGTTGAATTTGGGAGTGGATCCAAGGATTTAGTACACCCTAACCATGTTACCCATGGGGGAGGGGTCTTCTTTTTCCGGACAAAGGCTCTCTTTAAATTGTTGAATGAGAACATCATTTCAGCATATTTGAAGAAAAGAAGCCCAGGGATGTCTTTCTTCATGGCTGGTGACCCAACTGCTCTACTATCGCTTCTTCCCCACACATTTGCTCAGAGCACAAACGTTAGCATTTTTTCAGGTGTGTCCTCAGTTTTCTAGGTATCACAGGTCACAACTGGACTCCATCTGACCTCCTGGAACCAGGAAGTTCCTGACTGTGGGCCCATCTAGTCCAGCACTGTCAATAGTGACGGGCACAAGATCTCCAGGGTGTCCAACACCGTTCTTTCCTAGCCTTGCCTGTAGTTGCCGGGAATGTAACTGGGGCCCTTCCACATGCCAAACAGGTGCCCTGCCTCTGAGCACTGCCCTGCCCATCCCTGGAAAGCCACTGTCACGTTCAGTGGCAGGTGGTGCCTGTCCATTTGGAGAGACTGCTTGCCGTGAGACTGCTTGTCCAGCAGATGCTTTCAGCTGGAGGGGCTCGTCCCGTCACTGATGCTTCATACTGGAAACACCAACCTGTCTGTTGATTATCTTAGTGCTGTACAACTCTCAAAGGCAGGGGAGCTCTGGCAGAGGAGCAGAGGGAGAGATAGTAAACCTAGTCTTTTCCTACTCCGGTGCTAGGCATGAAAGCACACAAAATCAGCAGAGGAAGTCTTTATTACACTGCCCCACCAAGTTGAAAACAATTCACAGCACTCTGAATGCAATGAATTTATCCATGTATATTTTGCCCTAGTAATCGAGGCTATCTGCATATAGAAATAGCGTTGTTAGTCATTAGTACGTTAATGACATCAAAAAATGGAATTGGTACTTACTTACCCAGCCAAAGAAGATACTTGGGCTGCCTGTTCTTCCAGGATGGACTCCTCCCAAATATGGCAAGTTTCAGATGATTGGTTGGTTGTGTCTCTTCTTTCTTAAGTTGGAAATAGTCTGTTACTCCAGCACAGAACAATCTTTTGGCCTTATAGATTATGGCACTCCAGAGTTGATTCTGACTCCATCCTTAAATAAGTGGCTGGTTTAGTTTGTCCTAATGAGTCACATTGTTACATAAGGGAGTTACCTTCTATGGGTGAGTCACACTAGAATTTCCTGCTCTAGGCTCATATGAAGGTATGAGTAAACAGCATTTCAGAAGTGTTATTGTTTTGGCAAGAATGTTGTGGTGTTAATTGATATTCGGTGCTGAGCTTATCTTGGATGAAGATGTTATAGGTAATAACGTGGATTGTTGGTCTTTAAGTTCTTAGGATAGATAATATGATAAGTGGTTAGATAATAGTATGATATGGAATTAAGGACAATATAAGGCTGTATGCAGGCATATATGCGAGTATATTTTATGTTATTCTTGTTACTGGCATTAGCAGGTTTTATTTATGCTGTAATGAGAAGATTTATAAATAATAATTATATATTTTTAATGATATTCAGGATTGTTGTGGAGTCAGGACTGGCAGAGTCAAAGCTCTGGGGGTTCTGTCACCCCCTCAAGCTCCCCTGTTCCCTTTGAACTTGTAAGCAGTTTCTCCAGCTGCATTATACTGCTATAATGAAAAGCTTTTTGGTGATAACCTGGTGTCAGCCTGGTGTCAGATTTTCAAAATACCTGCTCATGTAGCAGAAGAAAACTGCCTACACAGTCTTTGTCAACACAGCTGTCTACATTTTGGGATTGTCCTTGGGGGATGCCCAAGGGCCCGTCCTCATGAGCCCCCGCACAATTCACCACTACAAAAATGTGTTGGGCCTGTATTGTTTTATGATTATTGTAAGCCGATTGGTGGGATACAAATTAATAAAATTAAATGAGGCTAAGTGACTCTTATGATGTTGCAGATAGTAAGAATAGAGCCAAGAATTGTGACTTTTGGTATACAGGCAGTCCCCAAGTTACGAACAAGTTGCATTCCTGAGAAAATGGAAATTCAATTTTAAGTAAAATTTCTCCATAAATCAGATCATGTGTAATCGGCCCTCCACAGTCATGGGTTCAGGCATGCAGGACTCCTATGAAAGTGGGAAAATGCAAATATTTCTGCCCACCCGCCCCCAAACTCACCAGCACCGCTTCTTTGGAGCAATGAAATGCCCGATGGGTGAGGCAGAGGGGCCTGTTTTGGAGGCCCCCCCTCTTCCATTTCACTTCTTCTTTCTGTCTTTGGAAATGGCAATTTCCTGCAATAATTTTTTAAAAGTTAATAGACTTTATGGTATTACATTTGTAAGTCCGAATAGTTTGTAACGCAATCGTTCCTAACTTGGGGACTGCCTGTACTTTGGAATTCCTTTGGGCTCTTTAAAAAAATACGTTGCCTTCTATTGCAAGAACATGCACAGAATGAACTTTCCAGGGTTGAGAACGTGATTTCACAACAAACACATTTCAAAATTAATGGATATTTATACTTGAGTATGTTGTACTCAGGGACATTCACTGCATTTAAGCACATCACCAATGCTCTCCCTCTTTGGAAGGGAGGAAGGAACGCTGATACAGGCATGTATTTTGAGCTCTGCCATGGAGATGTATAGGATCAAGCGGATATTCACTCCCTACTCCTGCCCCATCCCCCAAGAATTAGGGATTTAAAAGTTTAAGTTAACAGTCGCATTTTCTTTTTCTTTTGAATGTGATTTATTCATTTTATCTATTGTTTTAACTCTGGTTGTATTTTTACTACTGATCGTATTTATTTTTACTATTTCTTTATTGTCTACTGTATTATTGATTGTTCTTTATTATTGTTGTTTTAAACAAACAAACAAACAAACAAATATTTCAGCAAACATTAGGGATACAGGTTTACGGATCCCTCTTTCAGCAGCACAAAGCCAACCTGGAATGTTCAGGCTACCATTAATACAGAAGAACTGTGTGAATGATCCCATTCTATTTCCTGGCTTTGTGAGAGGCCAAACCCACTAAGTTTGCAGTGGGGAGGGAGTGCTGGCAACCCTACACATTTAGGTCAGTTGTTTTGATACATAAAACCATTTCCCCTTACGGTCACAAACATATTGTGACCGTACAGCCAGTTGTGCGTAGATACAGCCTGTGTGGAAAAAGAAATACCTATATGTGACACAATGTCCCAGAATGCTAACAGAAACGTATACACCCTGAGAGCGTGTAATTGCTCTATTTAACACCACTCCCTTTCTAACCTATACCTTTCTTTATCCAGCAAAGCATGCGAATAGAATATTTGCCAGCTCACACCTGATGCTTTGTAAACCAAAGGTCGATTCACTTCATTTCTAGGAAACTGTTCCTGCCCTTCTCTTTGCATGCAGATCGCCACATGAAGCTACAGACGGGAGTAGAA